ATAGTACAGGCCCACTAGGATTCTCACCTTGGGCGGTATACCCGTCCATCGAAGGCTAACAGGTTCTCCATCGTGTGTCCACTGCATTTCAAACACTCCCTGATTGCAGTCGATCAGCAGCGTGAAGTCAACCTTATTCGGCCACTTCTCAGCCCTCGCCTTTTGCCCATACACGTTCCCATTTGAACCGACTCCGCAGAGGCCGTCTGTGCGCCTCAACATGGGTAGTTGTTTACCAGTACTGTCAGGTACAATACCACACAGGGGATATATGCCGTTGCGCATGGTCGCACGGTTGCAAGCAAACTTGAGTCGCACATGCAGGTTGCCAGTTATAGGAGTTGAGTAGGCGTTCCTCTGTGCTCCCTCGTCACAGCACGTAGCCACAGTCCTGGCGCCATTAAACTGCAATACACATTCACATGCCTCGGGATCAAATTGAAGTGTGCGCTGGATCTGCAGAGGTCTCATGTTGCATAGCTTCATTTCACCATACACTACTGTGATGAAGTGCTTTCCAGGTGTTTTCGCTCGACATTGCCATTCACCTGGGCCTGCCGCGTTCGTCACTTGAACCGGCGCAGCAGTTTGATCACATACAGCCGACCGGGCAGATGACGTGTCCCTCGGTTCCTCGGGTCCAGATATGCTGAACGATACGTTCCGGTAGAGTGGCGATGACTTTGCAATCACGGTCTTGTACCCGCTGACCAGTGAAACAGACACGGTGAACTGTTCACCGGCCTCCGCAGTCTCTGGGGCTTGCACGGTGCTGGCATTCGGGTCCATCTCGCTAGCATCAAACACACAGCCAATCTTGCCAATATCCTCTACGGTCACATTGCCCGTGAGCTGAGTGCACATCAAGTCACATCCAGTGCTTACTTCCGCAAGGTCTTCGGCAGCAGTAGCAGATATCTCCGTCGTCTTTGAGACGATCCAACGACAAACTCGCACTGCAGCGTAGTCTCCGTCACAACTAGCAGCTACTTCTTGAAGCTTGTCTAACACTTCAAGGCACCCGGTTAACTTGGTTTGGCAATTCCCTATGGGAAGACATTTCTGCAATTGAAGCTGATCAACATCACCGAGCAATTTCTCCATTTGTGTTTTGAGCCGCTCAATCTTCTTGCCGAATTCCTCAGTGATTTGCTTAGAAAGCTCAGCTGCTGAGTCTTTAATGCCATCCTGCATGGTTTGCAGCATTTCCACTTTGTCGGTGATTGTTTTGCGGCAGCCTCCGTGGCTTGTTTCACTGCACAGCGCCTGGATCTGCTCTCTGCTCTCCTGGGCAGCTCCTTGGATTGTGACCAGCGCTTGCCCGTGCTGGCCATGTGTGGTCTGTCTCAAGCACACACTGCAGGCCACATCTTCACATGCCCTGCAGTAGTGTGTGATATTCTGCGTCACATGTACTGGACAACGGCTGCTGCTGCTGCTGCCAAAGCCATGCGCTGCTGCAAAGGCACCACCACTGCTTCCATCGATTCTGCCGTTCGCAGCAGATACAACACGATGGTGTGCGAATTTTCTTTTCTTGACGTGAGACGCAGCATGTTCCTCGCACAAGTCCAGCGAACAGTCTTGGCACACGCTGGTAGCTAGCGTGTCTCCCGTGCAGTTGTCGCACGCAATCTGCTCGCCCTCCTCCTGCAGGTCCTGGCGTCCAGTATCACCTGCCCTAGCCTCTGCACCGCTCGAAGGCCGGCAAGTGGGCAGGGTAAGGTAGTGCGATCTTCCTTGCCCCGGCGATGGAGTGATAGCCTGGCACCGACGGCATTTGATACAGTTGTCCTCCAGTCGAATGAGTTGTTCCAGACAGTCCGTGCAAACAGGATGCAAGCATTGAAGTAGCTTGTAGCGCTGGGTCAGTTCTGACTGGCAAGAGGAGCAAGCAGAGCACGACGCCATCTAACCATGGAAGCAGTGTCCGCGCCGCAACTACCAAAACGAAAATTCTAATGTCTGGAAGTAACGACAATTACGTTATAATTATGCTGGTCTGACATTTTACATGATTGTTTAGCTAGCCTTGTTGAGTAAAATTAAAAATCTAATGCTGAACAAGTAGGCCAGGCCAGGGGCCATCCGTAAATATAGATATTTTTTTTATTAATTTTAGAAACGAAAACTAGTCGTTTAGGGGGGAGGGCTAGGCTAGGGGGGTACCCCACTTTAATTTAATAGCGCCTGTTCGTTTCTCGAAAATATCGATGCACCGTTTGTATGTATATGTGTTGGCAGTTGGCACGTCCAGAAAAGAAAAAATATCGATACTATGCATCGTTTGTATGTGTTCGTTTCTGAGAGAGGGGGGGTTGAAGAGAAACGACTAGTTTTCGTTTCTAAATAAATATCGGTATTTACGAATGGTCCCTAAACTACTTAGTTACATCAAAAATTAATGCAAAGGCTAGGCCCATGGCCCATGCTGCACTAGCACTGGCAACTGCGGTCGAGTTGCTCGGACTTTTAGGTGGAGTGCTGGTTTCTTCAGTTTGTTTACTACTATACTATACTACAAGTACAGTTTGTATGATTTTTATGTAAACCTTGTTTGACAGTCACGTTACGCCTTGATGGCTTGAACATTCTGTGGAGCATGGACCCTGGCCTGCTAGCCTTTACTTGATACACTGATACAGCTACTGACTAAGCTCAGTAGCACACAGTCAGTACCGTAGTACACAGTAGCGGGATTGTAATTTTCAAAACACGCACATCCACAATACCCACCCACACCAACGCACGCAAACTGTCCTGTTGAGCCACTGCCACAAGGGCTAAGTGGGCCCTGAAGTGAAGGGGCAGTAGAGCCTAGACTAGAGGGAGAGAAGGAGCACGCCACCTGATGGCGCATCAGATGCAGGATCAGATGGAAGCGGCATGAACAGACTCAGGCATTCTTTGTGATATTAAACTAATATTAAAATATTAGTAGCAGTGATGAGGCTTCCTGTAGCTTCATTCATAGGAAAAAAAGGTTTCAGTGCAGATTATTTTGCCGAAACGTTGTAAAAATTGATTGAGAAGTGAGTTCGAGTTTGCAGAGTGAATGGGAAGAGAGCGAGTCGGCTCTGGAACCTTTTTTTTCCTATAAATAATATTAATTTATTTAGGATGAGTTCAAAAAGAACGAAACAGCATGCTGTCCGCAGATTGAGTATTAATTTATTTATACAAAAGAAAATGAACCAAGGAACTACAAGTTACGCCATAATGTCCACTAACACCACCAGTTACTAAACAATCAGCTCATGCGATAACATTGCACGACACTGACTGACGGTATTGACATTCTACAACTAACTGGCTAACAGCTCTAGCACATCTTGGATGCGCACTCCAACAGCCTTCCAACTTGGAAGGCCAGTTCTAAGTCATAGAAATAACATAAGGAGGGAAAGGTGAGCGCAACCAAGATAAGCACGAGCTGAAAGTCTCAGCTGTGAAGGACGTTGGAGTTACCGTATTTCCCCGTAAGTTAGTACGTACTAGTTTCGAACTTAGCAGCCACATGAGTACTAACTTTCGGGGGTGGTACTATCTTTCGGAGAGTACTTTTTTATCGGGGGTAAATGACACGCAGTGGGAAGCCTGCGCAACTCTAGTGTCCGTGCATATGATGTATGTACTGTACGGTGTCTGTACATGTAGGACGGGTACGAACTTACTATCTTTCGGGCGGAACTGTCTTTCGGGGTGATAACCTCGGCAGTGGAAAGTGTATTTTTTATAGGGGGTACTAAGTCATTGGGGAGAACTAACTTACGGGGAAATACGGTAGTTAGTTGGTGTTAGTGGACATTATAGCGTAACTTGTAGTTCCTTGGTCCATTTTCTTTTGTATAAACTAATCCTTGGCTCTCCATCAGAGTCCAAATTGAAATAATATTAATCTTCATCATAGGTGTTGGGGTGTTGAAAGTGTATAAAGGGAAAAGTAGATACCTAATCCGAAATAGCCCGGCATGATGGCGGATAGTGCTGGCAGAAATTGGTACTTTTTCTGGTAAGCGTCACACATTCAAGTGTTTGGTGAAATTGCCGCCATAAGCTACCCTGCTTTGTATGGTTCTGCATTTCAATACTTTGAAGTACGTTTTTAGCGGAATGATACAAGCTGCCAAGTTTTCAAGCATTATCCGCCGAGACCTAATTCAGCAATAATAACTGAGCCATCCCGTCCATCATTGGATATTTCACGGAAAGTAGTTCAAAGTACAGTACAGTACAGAGTTGACTTCTGAAGCCAGACTCGAACAAATCCTTCTGAACGAATGTTCCATGTTCAGTGTACTTTCAGCAGGAGAGCAACTGAGCACAGTCAGTGTTTCGACACCATTGACAGACATGATCAGACGGTTTTTTGTCGATTCGACACCCGTACTTCTACCATTAATTTTGACCATCAAGTTAGTTGACCATTATTTCGACTTCTAGTAGTAGTAAGTTCTACACACACACGCACACACGCACACACACACACACATTTGCGTGCGCGCGCACACACACACACACACACACACACACACACACACATCACACACACACACACACACACACACACACGTACACACATGATCAGGCTATGTTCATACTGAGTCAGTCTGCGACCACCGACATCAAAACAGGCGGTGGCACTTCAACTAAGTTACTTCAAGATAGCACATGGCAGGGAGCTTGACACCGATCCGGCCGACCTGTCCGTGCACTATGACAGTATGGGCATGGCGCACAGGCACAATGATTGTCAAGTCCCTCATCACAGACGAAGATTTGGGGAGAAGGAAAAAAAGCCATGAAGTCATTGCTTCAAGTGTAGAGTGGGCCATGGGCCATGGCATGGGGTGACACTGGTCACTGCGCTACACAGTCACTGACAGACGTCGTTCGACGCGACAACAGTCTGTACCGTGTACGAGAAGCGCAAGCAACGATAGCAATGGGCTTCCACCACTACAATCATGTTACGATGTAGTCACTGCACAGCCACTGATCATTTTACCTAATATCGCCTACCTGCACAGCGTGTTCTTGACCGGGCCGGTCTGGTGCTAGAAGAAGGAAGAGTAGAGTTGCTGATTATCTGCCACCGGAGCACGGCGAAGAGCCCCAACACTGTACTGTCACAGGCAACAGTGTCGGGTTGGTTGCGTTTCCCATCCATTCCGTGAAGGCGAGACAGATTTTAGCGGCCCGGGCCCGCCTTGCCAAACAAAAAGATTTTGTTTGATTTCCAGTATAGTACTATACCGTCTAATGCCCATAATAATTATGCACAGATAATGACTGTGTCCAGAAACTCAGCTTGTATGCTCTAAGTGTAAGGCAACACCGCTAGATCCGCAGTTGGAGTGAGAATTTAGCGGTCAGTGTGGGAGAAAACAAAAAAACTGAGTCAACAACTACAGATCTCTCGGGCGCATGGTGTGCGGCCGGGCAAGGAATGGATGTAGAGCAGACGGATCAGTAGCAAGAGGCGGCAGTACACTAGCTGCACTGCCTGTGCAGAGGCGAAATCTCGCAGCTCCTTTTGTGTTGAATTGCTACACTTGCAAGCACTGATAGCAACAGCGCCTGGTCCTAGTGGAAAGAAGTGTGTCCTCAGTGCCAGGAGGTGCAGGGAGGTGCAGGAAGGTGTGGGTGATAGTGGAACAAGTATCCAAGCTAACACTGGCTGTTAGCATTGTGCTGTGCACGTGGTCCTTGAAACACACTCAGTTCTAGACCCCAGTTAGGCATGGACTTGCTGAAACTCCCAGGCAACGCCACGGCGCCTAGTCCGACAACTTCGTCCGACCTGCCGACCATCGACCTGCAAGTCTGGACAACGGACCTCGCTGTCGTGTCCAGTGTCGTATCGTCTCTCGGCTCTTTTGCCATTCTCTATTTCTTCCTGAAGTATAGCGACATGCGCACGACGTCGCGTGAGATCTTGGCCTACATCTCGCTGAGTGACATCATCGGCAATGCCATGGTGATATGGGGTGTGCTGTGGACCAGCGCACATCACAGCAACGTGTCGTCGGATAACATACAGTGTCAGGTGCAGGCCACGCTGCTCATATGCGTGGGCATTGCCGAGTACCTGTGGACGTGTGCGCTGGCGTTCTACCTCTTCGTGATCATCGTGCGCGAGTCGGCCTGGGGCAACGCGCGCTGTCCCAACGTGGTGCACGCGGTGTGCTGGGGATGTGGCTTCGTCGTGGCAGCATTCGCGTACGGTTTCGGCAAGACCGGGGTAGATGTGCAGGCACGCAACACTGCACAGTGGTGTATCCTGCGCGACGCCAAGGATCCTAAAATCGGCGGAGACCAGGCCTACATCATGTGGTCGTTCCTGGTCGGCGATGGCTGGAGCTTTCTGGCCATCATCTGCACCATCACGTTCTACGTCATCATCAAATACCACATCTATAAGGAGGTAAGCTGTACACCCACACTACACTACACTACACCCACACACACTACACCCACACACACTACACCCACACACACTACACCCACACACACTACACCCACACACCCACACTACACCCACACTACACCCACACACACTACACCCACACACACTACACCCACCCACTACACCCACCCACACTACACCCACCCACACTACACCCACACACACACTACACCCACACACACTGCACATGATACATGGTCATGGTCTAGTCCTACGGCTGAACCAGTAGGCATGCATGATCTCACGTCCCTCAATGCAGCCATGTATTATCTGGCATCACCTCATCTGCATCTCATCTCATCTGCAGTTACTATGGTTACATAGAGGCTATTCTGATGCTAACCGCAGTAGTTAGTTGTAATAATTATCTTATTTATCTTGATGCTGTGGTGGAGTTCCCTTCGGTATCAATGCGGGTGGCAGACCCCTCAAAGCGTCAATAGCGGCACTTTCAGGTGATGTGTGAGGATTGGCGCAAGGGTATGTGGAGCATTGCAGATCAACCACCATCCTCCCCCCCCCCCCCCCTCCCCTCCACACCCATAGCTTACTCTTGGAATTCAATAGAATTATCAAGGCCTGTACCCGTGAATCAATAAAATTCACTGGTTTGGGCTCTAAATTTCGGAATTGTTTTCAGAGGAGCCACCCCAACCCCACGAGTAAACTGTACTTCAGGTGGCTGACCATACCACCCTAAAATACCTTGCAACGACCCTGGCTGACATTGTACTATCAGCACTGACTGGGATTGGAGGTATAGGATGGTGGAGGAGGGGTCGCTAGGTATTACCCATCTCATTACTGAATGGTGGAGGAGGGGTCGCTAGGTATTACCCGTCTCATTACTGAATGGTGGAGGAGGGGTCGCTAGGTATTACCCATCTCATTACTGGATGGTGGAGGAGGGGTCGCTAGGTATTACCCATCTCATTACTGAATGGTGGAGGAGGGGTCGCTAGGTATTACCCGTCTCATTACTGAATGGTGGAGGAGGGGTCGCTAGGTATTACCCATCTCATTACTGAATGGTGGAGGAGGGGTCGCTAGGTATTACCCATCTCATTACTGAATGGTGGAGGAGGGGTCGCTAGGTATTACCCGTCTCATTACTGAATGGTGGAGGAGGGGTCGCTAGGTATTACCCATCTCATTACTGAATGGTGGAGGAGGGGTCGCTAGGTATTACCCGTCTCATTACTGAATGGTGGAGGAGGGGTCGCTAGGTATTACCCGTCTCATTACTGGATGGTGGAGGAGGGGTCGCTAGGTATTACCCATCTCATTACTGAATGGTGGAGGAGGGGTCGCTAGGTATTACCCATCTCATTACTGAATGGTGGCGGAGGGGTCGCTAGGTATTACCCGTCTCATTACTGAATGGTGGAGGAGGGGTCGCTAGGTATTACCCGTCTCATTACTGAATGGTGGAGGAGGGGTCGCTAGGTATTACCCGTCTCATTACTGAATGGTGGAGGAGGGGTCGCTAGGTATTACCCGTCTCATTACTGAATGGTGGAGGAGGGGTCGCTAGGTATTACCCGTCTCATTACTGAATGGTGGAGGAGGGGTCGCTAGGTATTACCCGTCTCATTACTGAATGGTGGAGGAGGGGTCGCTAGGTATTACCCATCTCATTACTGAATGGTGGAGGAGGGGTTGCTAGGTATTACCCGTCTCATTACTGAATGGTGGAGGAGGGGTCGCTAGGTATTACCCGCCTCATTACTGAATGGTGGAGGAGGGGTCGCTAGGTGTTACCCGCCTCATTACTGAATGGTGGAGGAGGGGTTGCTAGGTATTACCCGTCTCAATACTGAATGGTGGAGGAGGGGTTGCTAGGTGTTACCCGTCTCATTACTGAATGGTGGAGGAGGGGTTGCTAGGTAACGTTATTACGTGTACCTGTCGCAGTAGAGAGCTTATGTGAACAACATCATCGTGTATGCTTGTATATAGACTATAGAGTGGCAAACCAAAGCTTGTGATGTCACTGCATACAAAACAGTCGAGGTAAGAGTGCACTACACCACCGCGGGTATGCATGTAGTCAAGGTTAGGAATAAGTTCCGAATAACATTAGCCGTTGAAAGTGACAATATAATATATTCATGCTCCTGTGTGTCACCTGATCCACCTGGCCAGAAAACCAACCGTGGCACTTCATTCATGGTCACACGTAGCGCTATGTCGGCTGCCTCCACCGTTGACCGTAAACTCACCTGGATCCCAATCATCTACTTCCTGCTGCACATCTGGGGACCCATGCGCACCATTTTCTCCCTGAGCTCAACCAACGACAGCCGGTCGCTGTCCCCGGGGCAGCAAGTGCTGCTGGCACTGGAGGTGAGCAATGTTTGCATGGTTGACACATACATGATGCACATGCACTCCTAGCAATGTGTGCTGGGATTACACCATACAACAGCTTGCAAGGCTGAAGAATTGATCGCCACTTTTCAGCCTGGTCTACACCACACAGCTATGAAGTGGCTTTTCTGGCCAGTGAATCCCTACTTTTTTGGTCTTTTCATTTTTTCCCGCGCACATCACACCACATACTCCGGCATGCACTGGCTGTTGGTAACCACCCCGGAGAATGTAAGAAAGGTCAGGAGGAGTCTGAGAAAGAGAAGAAAGATATATGTGTGTATGCGTGTGTGTGTGTGTGTGTGTGTGACCATAATCGGCGGGAATCGAACCCGCAACCTCTCGATTGGAAATCGCTGCATATACCACTGCGCCATATGTGATGCGCACGTAGATGTGGTTGTCATCCAACCATTCCAACTAGCATTCTGGTAAAGGTCACTGAAGCTACACTTGTAGGCAGCAAGTCTTTTCTGACAGCGATGGTGGCGTCGTGTTAGGGACCTGTTGAATGAACAAGCTCGACTGGCTATGTAGACAAAACAATTGAGCAAGTTTACTAGTATTTGTTGCAACACTGAGAGTCATGTCGAAGATCATTAGACAGCAATGGTAACTAAGTTAGAGCTGGACATCGTGAGTGCGGTACTCATCACCTCACTATAGGTGGCTGTGCGCTTACATCATCAGCTGAGATGCTTTGGCGAAGTCACCGCACAGCGATGCACTGGCTCAAAACAAAACCAAGGCAACTGCCAGCTCACGCTGTCACATGATACATAGCGGCGCCCATAAGTGGGTCCGCTGACTCACCACCATCATTACATGACATTATTCGCATAACCTCATTTGTTTCCCCAATCAAAGCCAGGGACCTAATCAGAGATAGACTTGCTTGGGAGGAAAAGTCCTGGATTGCTGTATAAATATTAAATATAGCAATGAACACTGACCCTACTAGCTGCATACACAAAATACTTGAATACAAGTCCTGTTACTTCAAAGTACATGTACCAAAGGTTGTGCCGTCGTCTGAGGCCTCAGTGGATGGCGGTGAAGGAATGCCGCTTCGTATATGGTCGTGTCTTCTCCCACCCTGGAGATTTTAAAAAGAGACATTCCCGCTTCTGCTTTGTCTGACACCGCTATCATGTGTGTGTGTGTGTGTGTGTGTGTGTGTGTGTGTGTGTGTGTGTGTGTGTGTGTGCGTGTGCGTGTGTGTGTGCGTGTGTGTGTGCCAGCTAGTTCGGTTGGTGGGTACACTTATGTCAGATAGTGTTGGGCCTGTTGCCAACGGGCTCGGCTGCTTGAAGGTGTATTGTTGTACAGTCAGACCTCGCGTATCCGGTCCTCGTTTATCCGGTCCTCGTTTATCCGGTCCTCGTTTATCCGGTCCTCGTTTATCCGGTCCTCGTTTATCCGGTCCTCGTTTATCCGGTCCTCGTTTATCCGGTCCTCGTTTATCCGGTCCTCGTTTATCCGGATCCCTCGCCATCCGGAAGAAAATCGCTGGTTACCGATGTGCAGCATATGTTATGCATACAACATAACCGGACCTCGCGATCCGCATACCGGTGCATGATTTTGTGTACAAACTGGTTAAAATGTGTACAAAATGCTTCGTCGTATCCGGTTGCATGTGGCTGGCTAGCGCCTGCAGAAGCTAGTATCAATGAGTTGTACAAGTAAATGAGGTCCTTGACCTGCTGGGTGTGTGCGGACAGCACTCAGTTGCATGCACTTGTCATTTTTCTCGCTTGTTTTACATACTGGGCACGCTAGGCGTACTGCATAGGACCCGTCTACATGTATGTATGATGTCACTGCTTTTGACATGCCACATGCATATTCAGTATGTGTGTTCAGTTATCCGGTTACCTCGCCTATCCGGATGTTTTTGTGGAAAACAGATGTGTGCGGTTAAGCGAGGTCTGACTGTACCTACCACCTTTGTTGGTTTCAGGGTTCATAATATACTTTCTATTTGAAGTATACATACCTGTTAATCATGGACTATTTCTGGATAGATAAACTCTTGTGTAATCAATGGTGCTAGTGAAGCTTTTATCAGATCCACTCTGATTTAGCCACCCACACTAGTACCAAGTATTACCTTCACTGGGGGCAGGGGTACCTGCAGTTGGATCCCGGGACGGATACCCTGATGCCGTCAATCCTTTTTCTGCACCTTGTCCTCACCCACTTACTGAGGTGTGGTGAGCCCATAAGTGGGATTATTTCAAGTCCACCCTAGATTGGGGATTTCAGGGGGTGTCGGCCGTTGGGTGGTTCAATGGCCAATTGAGTCATCTTTCCAAGATTCCTTTTGAGTCTCTCTCCCCTCTCCCGGGGAGACCCACGTGACCATTTTTGGCAGGGAGCAAGTACAAGTGTGTGTGTGTGTGTGTGTGTGTGTGTGTGTGTGTGTGTGTGTGTGTGTTTCTCATTCTCCAGACGTTTGGCGACTGCAGTGAAGGCCTGACGAATGGTGTTATTTTCATCCTTTTCTCACCGAAGCTTAGACAACGTATCAAGTCGTTCCTGGCGTTGTGTTTATACCGCTGCTGTGCAAGGCTTAGACCACAGAAGAGAAGGCAATCATCAAATCCCCGCGTGCCTCAATCGGAGCAATCACGTCTAATCCGTGGTACCATCAAATCGACATATGCTCAGGAGTCAGATAGCCAGTCGCACTCCAGGGGGCAAGAAACAGGCGATGCCTCTGTCCAGGCAAAGCGCTTTAACCCTAACTTGACTGGTCTAGGTAATCAGCTTGGTGAGCGCGATGTCGCTGATGATGACGACGGCGAAATGACTATGTCAGTCAACACCGAGCGGAAGTCGTTCGCTATATGAATGCAAGAGAACTGTGGAACAGGCAATGTGACTGTAAAACCTAAACCCCCACTGTTGATGATTAGTTGATATCCTATCCCTGTTCTTGAGTGAATCACATTGATTTAAAAAATGTTGCTGACCATATTTCGATTGAGACAACAACTAGATCAATACGTATAGTACTCTACTCTGCACAGATTGTCTCTTTCTTAGACTAGAGGTGACACCGTGACATTTTTATAGTAGTAGTGAATGATAACCAAATGACCGTCTTTCCTCCTTTTGTAGATTGTTGTAGCTCAAGTATATATCAACTTTGAGGCACTCAGCTCTCTCCAACGTTTCCATTATTTTTATTCAGGCATACATTTTACTGTACCGATGTAGGTACATGACTGATTGTGCTTCGCTGTTGCATGCCAATGTTTGGCAGTGGTCACCCCCCCCCCCCCCCCCCCCTCCACACACACACACACCAACACACCCTCCCCGTGACTCCGTCTCCACTCAGTTCATAACAGTGCAATCCCAGATTGATACCCAGCGAAGCAGCAGGCAACTTCCACTGCATCCTCACACCGTGCCCAACACCATAGAGAACATGATTGTATAGAAATCAGAAAGATTGAGATTCACACAAAGCGACTCTCAGGAATTATTTCCAACAATACCCGGCTACACTCCTTGTCACTGACGTCAAACTGGTTTCTCATGATCAGCAACCGTAGGCTATTCTATGCAGAGCTATTGAATTACTGGAACTGTCATCCAATCATCCCTGAGTCATTGAATTCACCCAAGCAAGGAGGGAGACTTCTCCCGGCGCATGCATAAGGTGCTTGAGCAGAAAGAGAATGGTTAAAATGATTTAAAAGCACAGAATGCCGGTGCTGATGCGGGCTAGATATTTCAAGTTCATCAATTTTAAGTAAACAAGCGTTTCTGAGACAGCAGTTATAGTTAATATAGCTATAGCAACAAGGACGACTAATTTCACTGTAAGCATACATGTAGACATTTAGGAAATGCAATTACTGAGTCCTTGCTATAGCTACATTCATCAATTTCCCTCAGGAATGGTGACTAGTAGAGAAGACCGAGACAAAACGCTCGGCATGCATCTAGTAACTGTTCAGCAAGCACTTTGTCTACTCTGTCATAGAACAGTTGTCTACTCTGTCATAGAATTGGGACGTGAATTAGTTGTGCTATTGTACCCTGCGCTGTTTGTGGACCCAATAGATGTCGTTGAGGTGGGGCGAAGCTGGCGGTTAGGTTTGGGGGTTATGGGTCGTTTGGGTGGCGGTTGACCAAGCGGATATACAATAGTATCGCCTTCCTCTGTGACACTTTCCGTTCGAAGTCTATTACCCGGCAGTGCGTCGGCGTCATCCGCGCACAATGTTACCTGCAGCGATGGCGTCAAGCTAGCACGCCTGTCTGTCATCTCCTGACGCGCGGACACAGGGGTACAGGAACCGCTGTCCCTGTCCTTGGGTGACTTGGCCCTGCTGATGGTGTCCCGGCCGGCCGGCTCGGTGTCGGAACGCTCTGGCGTGGAGCGGGCCAGCACCTGCTCAAAGTCACTGCAATCCGGAACATGCACAGACACATGGAGGAACACAGAGAATGACATCATGATGAGTCATAGACAAGCTCTGATAGATGACCCATACATTGAACAGTGGATGTCAACTGTCAGTGCCCACAATATTATTAAAGTGTGTTCATGTAAGGTGTAAAGGCATAGTGGTGGCCTGCGGAAGCGAAGGCTATAGCTTGTGTGTTTCTGAACATTCAAGTGATGCTAACGCGGATCCCGCGAATATTATTATTATTCATGTAAAGCAAAACAATGGCTATTCACACAAGAAGACCATTGATTCAGAGACTCGGTACCATTCACGAGCACAAAGCCTGTTGAAAACCATAATCTACAATATTCTCTCACGAAGCACAAAGAACTCCCCCAACATAGATCTCGCCAGCGTACGCACACCACACTGAAGTCACTTTCATTGCCAGACGACACTGCGGTCTGGAGCAATCAAGTTCAGTAGCATGGTTCCACAGTGTGGTATACATTGTGATCATCCATCACACTTCTAGAAAGCACCAGAAAAACACATACCGGGCACAGTATGCCTATGGAAACACCAACGACTTGCGACAAAAAAAGGTGCAAATGCCTCTAACTAAGCTTGCTGCTCATCTCTGTGTAGTGCAGTGTCGGGGACTAGTGGAGATGGTGGTGGTGGTGTACTGAAAGCTAGTTTGAAACTCAAGAATTATAATACAACAGTGTAACGAGGCTACTGGTATGGTGCTACTAGTACTCCGAGGTTCATGCACAATCATCACGAGTCAGGCAGCATGATAGATGGTGTGTTAACCATGTCAGCATATGTACAGGGGAAGGGGTACTTGCAGCCTAGGATGTTAAAAAAAAGGGGAAACTCAAGATTGAAATCTTTCATCATATCAAGTGCTGCTTAGCAGCTTTTACTACTGGAAATTGTACTTTTAAACTGCTCAACGCCGTGGGAGCGGTACAGGTGTGCGCATATTGTCTTGGATATGTCCGGCATTCCCCAGTGCAGCCAGGCCGGGGTTGACCTCAATGTCCCTCATGCGCTGCCTTCCAGCGTAATCATCCAGCAGCTCGTCTTCGGAATTGTACGTCGGTATGACGGAGCCAGCAGTTCCGAGATGACGTCGCCGCTGGAGCATGGCTTCCTCCGTGTACTCATCCCCGGACGCGTAAGGTGCAATTTGTGAGCCTTTTTCGTCCATGGCATCATCGTCGTCGTCGTCGTACACGCATGGCCAGTCACAATCTGATTCAATCTCCTCTGGGATGGAAACTGCTTGCCACACATCGTCACTCTCCTCCGGCTGGACCTGACCTAGGAAGCCTAATCTGGCTGATCGACCAGATTCACTGAGATGATTGCGTTTGCCGTTGGCTTCATCCCGAGTTCCTCCAGTATCGTCTTTGATGCGTTCATAATCGCTGTCCTCGTCATCCTCATCCTCATCACTGATTATCTGATAGTCTTCCAGGTCTGAATCTGCCATTCTTCTGTACGGGCCTCTGCTTTGCCGGTGGGTGCAGGCCGCGATAGCCCGATCTCGATTCACTAGTGAATCCAGTGTGTTGGAAGAGACTGCGGGTGGCAATTCCGATACAGTCATGCTTGACTGCCGTGTATCCTCTGCTGTATTGTCACAGCTGGTCCTCATGCTCTCGGAACCTAGAGAGCGGGGAACTGATGATGAGCTGGAGTCCTTGCGCGGCTTTCTGCGACTGGAGCGTTTGCGATGCCGAGACTGCGGTGGCGACTTTGGTGACTGTGGGCATTTTCGCGAAGAGCCATCCGACGATGTGTGTTGCTTGTCTGGTGTTGGTTTTATAGAGGGGCTGCACTCCGGTGAGTTTGCCACTTCTGCACTGCGTATGCACACGTCCACTGCCGCGGCGGTCTCAGCATCTTCCTGGTGAAGATTGCAACTATCTTTAGTATGAACCATACTCACTCTTCCCGCACCATGCAGTGTTTGCAAGCTATCCTGTAATGCGGGTACCTGATGGCCAGAAAGACTCTGCTGCTCATCGTGAAGTGGAACAATAACCTGTGGAACTATTATGGAGGACTGCGTTGACGGTTTCTCCATCACTACGTACGTGTCATGGCCATCATCATCATCGGCAGGTTGATCGTGTAGCACGTGAGTCAGAGTCTGCGGGGCGGTCTCATTGGCACCTGATGGCAGGTAAATACCACTACTGCTAGTCCGTGATGCTTTGGCAGACGTTATCATCTTACTGATAGTCTGTGATGCTTTGGCAGACGTTATCATCTTACTGCTAGTCCGTGATGCTTTGGCAGACGTTATCATCTTACCGAGAGCATCTCTGCCCAGATTGTCAACATCCATCTCTTGGGAAACCGTCATTGTCACGTACACATTACGATCTCCACAAGGATGAGCGATGGGTGGCTTTCCAGCCTGTCGTTCTGGTGGCGGAGTACTGCTAGTCTCGGGTTGTGTTGAACACAGGCCTACACTGGCTGTTGAAGAATGGTGTGATCGCCCCACAGGTGATTCCTGCACACTTGCTGCTCCATGCACCAGAGGATCGACAGTGGCTGCATCGCAGACTTTACTCTCTAGACAGTGCTCTTGTTTGTCCTCTTTGCCCTCATGTGGCACGCCAGCCTCACCACTGCTCTCTACAGTTGCTGTGGAGGCGGGCCGGGAAAGCCGGAGAGGTAGACTGTTTTGTTTGTCGCCTTCTGTCCCCTCATCTAAGCCTTCGACGCTGGCAGTGATGTGTGCACCTGTGCGTGTTGCTTCTGCCTTCTCGGTGGCTAGAGGAATACTTGATTCACTTGTACTTGGGACTGACTGATTTGAGTGGCTATCACTTCCAAGTGTTATGACTGAAGGATGATGCCCTGCACCCATGTGTACATGTATATCGTAGTCTGTGTGCAGCCTCTCTGCTGGTGACACTGCTGCATCAGTCGATGTGCTAGACACCCGCCGTCCGCCATCCTGTGGGATAGTCATCCGCCGTCCACCATCCTGTGGATAGACAGAAGTCCAAATGTTGCCACCACTTGGCGGACCGTCCGCCTTGCTGCCCGTGCCAGGACTTTGCCCGTCTTGTCGCGGAACTTCATCGCCGGACATTGTGTCATCATTGTGATCAATCAGATTGTCACCAACCCTACGCCGTGCAGCTTCCTCCGGAGTATCTACACCGGCTGTCCATGAAGACTGTGCAGTCACACCGGTGACATCGCTGGCTTGGTCAGTGTTGGCACGATCTGCGGACACACTGCCCACAGCAGAGCTCAAGCCAACATCAGTTTCCGCCTTCTGATCGTTGCGCACGCCTGGGTAAGACAGGAGCCTTGGCTGATGCAACACGTAAGAGTAGGTCTCATTTGTGCGCTGTGCACCGGCCGGCGGCTGTGTTGGCGAGTCTAGAGGACACTCGTAGTAGGGTGGTTCGTGGCCGACGCCGTACTTTCGTGTCGGAGAGCCGGCGCTGGAAGGTGCATTGCCCTGTGCGCTGGGAACCGGTGCGGCTTGCCTGCACGCCATCGCGTCGTTAGAATCAATAGGGATATCGTAGTACATGCTAGACCCACACTGCTGTCCGGAATCTCCAGGTGTGCATGCAGGTGAGGCCACACTGCCACTTCCCTGAACACCGGTGCTACTCAGCAGTATGTGTTGGCCAGAGCTTGACGACGTATGCTGCGCCGATGGAGGAACATCAGTATCTGGATCCAGGCATGTAGCAGCACTTGAACCAGTGGTGGTTGCGCTTCTGGTTGCATCATCATTGCCGGTCACTGCCGCATGGCATGGTGTGTTCTGGGCTGACACTGCTGTGTGTATGTCAGCATGTGTGTCATCTGTTGCACTGTAAAGCAGTGTCGTGTCAGCTCGCAGCGGTGGCCGTTTTCTGATGGACAAGCAGTACTCCTGTGCTTTCTCCGCTTGCTCGGCAAAGTGTGCGGACACACTATGGGTACACACGCCGTCACCATCGTCCACGCCAAGTTGTGCAGCATACGGGCGCTGGGGTGTGCTAGCGTGGGAAAGTCCCAGCGCACCTGCGTTCCAGTCGCCGGGTGAGTAGAACTCGACGCCGGTGACTTGATCATCCCGTAGAAATGACGCTGGCATCACGCCAGCAGACCTGCTGCCAGCACTGTCCACTCTAACAGAATGTTCACTGGGTAGTTGTGGTGGTAATGAGTCATGTTGTATTGGCAACGGGGCATGTTGGCTTGGTAGCGGGGACTGTTGTCTTGGTAGCGAGGCCTGTTGGCTTGGTAACGGGGCCTGTTGTCTCATATCAATGGCAATGTGCATGAGTGATGAAAGTTGCTGTACGGGCCACGTTGCTCCAGTCATCTCCCCACTGCTACTAGCTGTATGTTCTGTGTGTGCTCTCTGTCGTTCCATCATCATCACGCCTGGTAGTGGGGTGGGACCGGGTGCAGCCAGTGGAGACACCGGGTGCTTAGCGGACACGGTGTGCCTGACCGGGTCGGTGCTGGCCTCTTTGGACTGAAGTGAGTCCACCAAGAAGCTCAGAGCAATCTCATTCTGCTGGTGGTGGGCTGTATTGCTTCGGTGGCTGCTGGTCAGTGACGAGGCCGGGATGAGAGGCTGAGATATGAAGTCTACATCCTCATATGAATGTGGTCCGTCGATCTGTGCTGGTGGTGTTGCGCAACAGCGCAGTGACTCCGCGTTACTGCCAGCCAGGCTTGAACCCAATACCTCCTTCGTTTCGGGTGCAATACCTTTAGCTGCCTTGTTCGACTTCTCCCTATCGCTGGCATCCTTATTCTCGGTGAGGGGTTGCTTACTGGCCGCAAGCGTCTTTCTCAGCCTTTGGTTGCTAATGAGAAGGTACACGACGAGGAATAGAAAGAGCGGGACGAGAACGGCAATGACTACACCCATCACGAGTGTGTAGTAGCTGCTTGATAGTCCAGTACTGGGCGTGTCCGCAGTGGCGTTAGCCTCCATGACTTCAGTTTCAATGGACTATCTGCATGTAGACAGAAATACGGAAGCACGGAAGATAGAAGATTGGCATTCAAGACCTGGTCGGTATTGCATGACTACTCGTACACCCAATCTCTCCACTTGGGAAGGTAGTTATGCTGGTGTGGTGGTAAGGTTAGGTGTGTATGCTCCCAAAAGTTTGCCTCCTACGGCAGCACAAAGTGGCAAATCAACAGCAGATCCAGACCCTGGAGTTTCACCTGCATCAGTGTATGTTCATGGTCACAGCGGAGCAACCCAGGCAACCCAGGCAACCCAGGCACCGGTGCATAGGTCTCATGTCATTTAACTGCTGAAAGTGCATGTCTTCAATGGGAGGTGTATCCAGTACTATTGCAACACATGAAGAATTGCACCGGCTCTAGCAATTATAATAATCAGAGGCATGCACATGACCCCCCCCCCCCCCCATATCAAGCAGTATACTGTGACCCTGGACCGCCATGTTATCTGACCGACAAGATATTGCTGTCTGCCATGTTTTGCCATCACAAACCTACCAAGTTGCCATGTAACAAAGGAAAACTGAAGAGGTCTTGTGTCCGGACCATTCACTGAACAATCATGTTTGCTACATCACATTGTGTTCACGGCCAGGCTGCAGCTCACGGGTAACATGTGTAACTTCTTACCTGACAGTGCTGTTGGTATCTCCTCTCCCGGTGCACAACTTCAGGCAGCTAGTTCTGGCCGATATCCACCTCCATTGAATGATCTCTCCCATCTCCAACTGAAGCACCACTGCAAGAGCCTCCTTGCACAGAGAGCACAGGCTCACATAGTGCATGCGGACTGTGACTTCCGGAAGCTAACGCTTGAAGCAGCACACGGAGTGGCTGAGAGATTCTTTTGGGTTCTCTGGAAGAGAGTGTGAGCTGCGTTGCTCCATAACCCCTGGAGACGGCAGTTGACATCCTTGGTATTGTCGTTGATGATCCCAGGTAAACAGCAAGCGGTCAGCGCTACTGCCGACAGATTGTGCTAAGAATATACACAATGTGACACCGGGCGGTCTTGGCTGACAGCAGAGAGGACAGGCAGGACATGTCATGACAGCTACATACGTGTGCTTCAGCTCCAAGTCCGGCCCGTGGAGCAGTGACAATACACATGTGCAGCGAGTAAACGGCCTTCTGAACATTCAATGAAAACCGATTTGGGCTCTACATGGGGAAAGGCCACATGTTGCAGGAACGACTGATACAAGTACATGTAGCTATCACTGGTCATGAAACCGTGGCCTAAATCTGCTGCAGTTATGCTATTGATATCTGCACAACAGTGCGCTGTAGTAACATTCATCATCAGTTTATTGATTTACTTTTTGAAAAACGTAAAAATGTTTGGCACCTATGAAATCAGGGGATGGCCCACGCCTGGTAAAAAAAATATGCCGTCAGTACAAGTACACAGCACAACCTCATCACATTCTCTCTTCTCCACTGAATGAAGCTTCTAAGCAGGAGTTACATTCCAGGCGACACTGGCATGTGCCACGCGCCCGTACAGCAGAGGGGCGGCGCAAGCACCCCCTCCTGCACTGAAGCCCATGTACCGGAATAGCTGCAAACGTCACCGGCCAAAGTCACTAATAACCACATGCATGAAACATCACAGCTGTTAACAGAGCTGCTGCAAATGACCACGGCGATATGCAGAATCCAATGTCAAACACAACGCACTGGCTGAGGAAAGAATGTACCGGGTGAACAACCACCTCAAGCATAGAAACTTGAGACCGGAAACAATCCCCTGGCAAATAGGTTCTCCATTTCACGGAATAGCAGGCCTGACTGGCTGGCATGTGATGAAAAGAAAAGGTGGCAAATGATTTTTTTCGCTTTCCCTGATCGAATTTGGTGACCCTTCATCGTCCAAAGACAATGGAGTGGCGTAGAGCACCACCTGTCTAAATCCCAATCAAGATCACATGACATGTGTGTGCTGAGCGACAACGACATTGCAACAATCAACAAAACACGTTTTATTACGAATCAAGCACACGCCTTAACACGGATATCCACATTGTGAAGAAAAAAGAGGCTGAGAATTTCCACGGCGAGCGATGCAATGCGCTACCAAACGAAAAACAGGGCGGTGTGAGAGTGATTGGTTTCCTCAAAACACGACGTCCCATGAACTAAGCAGTGACTTGTGTACAGAGAGTGTTGGCTGCCACTTGGGCAGACTGCTTGGACCATGTACATGCCCAATAGTGTGAATACAGCCAGTGCACTGCGATGCACACTGAGAGCACATCCCAGGCTGCGGCAAAAGAATTGCAATCGGACTTACATTGCCAGCGGCATTTCCTCGTTGTCGCCGAACGTGGAGCGCACCTTCATGGATTGCGGGGGCTTACGGGCCAGACGCACGGCATCCTCAAACTCGTTTTCCGCATTCACACGCACCACAGCTACGGTGGCACCGCGAGGCCCGCCTCGCTGAATTCCCGGCGATGGAGTCTTGTTGATCGCAGCAACATCACTCTGGCCTTCTTCATCTGTGTGTCCTCGCTGAGTGGTTTCAGGTGCTGCTGCAGCGTCGCCTTGGAATGCAGAATCATCAGCACGAAACGCTGTCTCTGCTGATTGTTCGTATAGGGGCTGCACCGTAACCGAAGTACTTGGTATTGGTTCTAAATCCTTCATAGAGCCCACCACAACGTCATGATCAGCAATTGATGCTTTTGTCTGGGATCGCTCACTTCTCGATGTGTCTGACCGGTTTTTATCCCGTTCCAGCGTCGACATAGCGGTGATGGCGGATGCAACCGTGGCATCGGCTGTTGTTGAGTCTCTCACCACTAACTCGTCATCGTCTTCATAGTCCGCAGCAGGGTTGTGAAAGGTGAACTTGGGCTCAACGTGCATCTTGGAGAAGTCCCGGTCATCGCCGTAAACCTCTTCATCTTCACGCATCTGAAGTCTGCAATGAATCACAAATAAACAAATGAAGCCGATGTCACTCCAGGCACTACTGTACTAACTGTTGCACATTCTGAATCACCGGTGCCTTGGATATAATTATTATTAGTGTTGGACAACTAAGGATAACTTGTTAACCTTTGCTTCAGCATCAACCCTACCCATTCCGTATTTTATTGGCCACTGGTATACAATGCGCACAGAGGTTACTGGGTCCACTTCGTAAGGTGAGTCGTGGCATAATGGCATGTCGGATAATCAAAGTAGCACTTTGCTCTGTGGATCTAAAGGGGAAGTTTAGCCAAAAATCAAAAACATCCGGGACTTGTTGTCTTCTGGGCAACCGAGTGAGTTGGTACTGGTACGAGGACGAAGCTGCAGCGTTCAGTTTGTCCTATAATTCCAATCGAATCTGTGCACCTCCACCGAAATGGGAATAGTTTAAACCTTACTGGCAATAACTTATAATATCACCTTGAATTTCCTTTCAAACACCCCTGCATATGTATTGGTATAATTGGCATTACATGCTGCATGTGGAGACCACTCACCGCCTTGCCCATAGAATGAGTATGACTGCTACGGTGGTGAACAGGAATAAGCCAAGAACAGTGCCGAGAACAATGGTTGTGGTGTCGTCGACCCTGCCCGCAGCACTGCTGCTAGTGGGATTGACTGCGGTTGTGACGCCGCCCATCAGTGTACTTGTGACGGTGGACGCTACACTGGTAGGACTAGTGATGTTAGCAGTGTCACTGCCGTTACCGCCACCGCCGGTAGTAGTAGTAGTAGTAGTAGTACTGGCTGAGCTGGCAAGGCTGCTCATGCTTGGCAGTGGTGATGACGACGTGATGCCAGGGCTGTCTGATGTAGCACTGGTGCTGCTGCTGGTGCTGGTGGCGACAGAGCTGATGCCAGTGACCACGTTGCCAGCACTAGTGATGGCGCTTGTGATTCCCGCCGTAATGCTGCTCAGAATGCCGCTGCTGCCCGTGTTTGTTGTGGACGTGGCAGCACTGGTCATGCTACTGCTGCTGCTGCTGCTGCTGCTGCTGCTGCTTGCTGTACTCATCACCATGTTGGTAGTAGTGCTACTGCCGCGTGTAGTGATAGACGCTGCAGCAGTACTCGTCGCCATTATTGTTGTAGCTGTGGCATTCGCTGTGCAAGAGAACACCAAAACACAGAAACACACACACTTGTAAACTAATGAACCTATCCCTTTGAACCCATGGAATTCGATCCCCATGCAAATACGCCTTTTGCGCCGTGTTCCCTGCAATGATGGGTCACATGCACTGTACAGTTAGTTGACTGCTGTTACCGCAAAGGTCAATTGTACACAGCACTATGTACAGCGCAGTCCTATACTACCACAAAAAATGTGTGAGGTGACCACTCTGACAAGGCAATCACCTGTTTCAAAGGATAAGTCTGCCGGATGTGATAATTACGCCTCAGAGTACCAATCTGATACGACAACCACCTGTTCCAAAGGATCACTACAAGGACTTAGAACAGGGATCAGCATTTCCAATCAAATGACCTTGGATAGGGGGACCATCCGCACATTGGGGGTAGCACTATTTGGGGGTTCCCTTGATCGGGTTGCCGCAGACAGCGAGCACTGCACGCACACAGTGCTACATTTTTTATTACACTGATACTCAGTGTCACTGTGCAGCTGACAAACCTCAGCCAGAAGCTGCTGCATGTGGGCCAGTCGAAGTATTCAGGTGACTGAAGGTTGAATTACTGGTGATCACACAATGCATCCCCCTAATCCGAGCTAGGCACTGCACATCGGGGGGGGGGGGGGGGGGGGGAGGGGTATGACGGTATGACTCAGGGAAGCCGGGTCAAGCTTGTGGAGCACGTCCTGGCTGTCTCATGCAATCCCTGAGAAACATCCCAAACTGGTCTCAAACCATGTCTATCACTTCAAAAGACAGCCCACCCCAAAGTTATTGTCCCTGTTGCGCTTTGTCTTGGGGTGTTTCGTCTTGGGGGTGTTTTGTCTAGGGGTGTTTTGTCTAGGGGTGTTATGTCTAGGGGTGCTTTGTCTAGGGGTGCTTTGTCTAGGGGTGCTTTGTCTAGGGGTGTTTTGTCTTGCGGTGTTTTGTCTTGAGGGTGTTGGGGTTTAGGGCTGGAGTCTGGGCACTGGCTGACTGCTCAACTGCTTCCGACAGACCTGGGACCATGGTGACAGTGTCAGTCCTGTTTTCAAATATTCCAAGGTAGTAAACCGACACAATGTCAATGACCATGGCACAGCTATATTTCGTGTCTGACTTCTTTAGGAGACTGACTGCCTTCCGTAGGCATCACGGTTTACCTTTGGAGAATCCTTGAAATAAGATGTCAACGTAAAGGCCAATGTCAACCCTGGTCTTAGCTTGTGACTGCGGCCCGCGGGGGTTGTGGGTTTCGTAAGTACACACAGTCATTACTGCATTAGGCCACGGTCGGTCGGTGACTCGGTGGTCTTTATTTAGTCCCCAGCGGGGCCGCCCCTCTCCGCTCAGGGTGAAGCTAACATCACGTGAGTCGGGAAATAGCGAATGGTCACATTCCCGGGAAGCTTCGTGTACATACGGCGATCGTTTAGCGAACAGTACAAACAAACATGACCCCGTCGAGCAGTCATTGTTTTCGGGGCCATCGCATACAGCGACTTGAAAACACGGGGTAGTCTCCTCTTGTCCCTATTCCACGTTGGGACGTGTCAAGCATGGCAATCGGCCATGGTGTGAGCCATGGGTGGGGTTGGCGGAGCAAGGTAATGACTGAATGAGAGCTGCGGGTTCATCCCACTCCTCTCCCCTGTGCTGGTAGACCTACACGCGCACTACGGAGTACGGTACACACAGTGAGACATAACACATAGTGACATAGCCTCAAACTAATTCCAAGTCAAAGGCACATAATCATGATTATCATGATTATCGGACATGACTGTTATCATGGTAATGATGTAGGCAAAACGCACATCGTCATTTACTCACCCATGGCTCCTCGTCCTTGTCCTTGCGTTGTGCTTCGGACTGCGTCGGCCGGGTTTCACTAGGAACGCGAAGACGAGATCCAGGCGGCACGTACCATGGACAAGCCAACCCGGCAGCCAACACTGCCGTCGGGCAACGTAAGATCGCTGATTCCGTGCCTCCGCCGCTGCACCGGAAACAGTCCGTACTCGGAGTCGGACCCTGCGCGAGTCACTGCTAGCTTTCCCCGATGACAAGCAAATCTAGACAGTGACGGAAACGCTCGCTGATGACTTGTCGCCGCTAGGGTCGAGTCAGCTGGCGACGACGACGACTTTACTTTGCCACGCTTGCAAGGTATCCGGTAAAAGTATGCAGATAACTGTTACTGGATACCAACACTGGCACCAGGATGGAGGATGGTCTTTGTTTCCGTGCGTCCCGACCCTAGTCGACTAGCAAGCCAACTAGGCATGCACGCATGGTCAGCTGCCACATGTTGCACAGCGAGCGACGTTGCGTTGGATTGCTGCTGTAAACTACTTGCCATTTTTATTGCACTCTGCTGGCACAGGAGTGCCGATGACCACAGTCAGTTACTACTACTTACCGGTTTATGGTTGTAGTCAGGAGCACTACGCGTCCTCGCCTTGTAACATGCTGTCAAAATCGAAAAACATGTTAATACTTACTAGTACTACTAGTGTAGTAGTATGCCTTTCCGCAAGTGTCGCGTACAGTAGATCGGCGCAACCAAGCACACGGCGCAACCGAGCACACGGCGCCGCATTGCGAGGCCAAGACCCGGGCCGAGTGCGCGTGGAGAGCCGGGTGGGGTTAGACTCAGTAGTGTGTCAGTACTGTACAACTACAGGCTCGTTGAGACTGTTGTCCGGATTTCCATGTCCACGACATGTCGACAGTAGCTCAGTACAGTGTGCATTTACATGGACAATGGCATTATTTTATGGCTCAACCAGGACGTCGTATTACCATGATTACGACTACCTGGTACAACCCTGTTATGTAGATTTACATCGTGTTCCAGACGGTTGTATTCACACCCAACTGCCTGCCTCTTCCTTTTCACTTTGTTTGTTTCCCTGGTGGCTACTAGTACATGTACTAATCACTTTGCGCTCCAACTCATTGCAACTGAAAGCTGTACAATGTAGTTACCTACACCACACACACACACACACACACACACACACACACACACACACACACACACACGTGGCACGCACACACACACACACACACACACACACACACACACACACACACACACACACACACACACACACACACACACACACACACACACACACGCATGCACATACACGTACATACTTTGAAGAACACAAATCCCTTGAAACTGCTGCCTAAACCTAAAGGTGATGCAGAGGCAAGGAGGTTCAGGAAGTAGCAGTACACACACACAAGTGCACGCAACCCCCTGCACACACACTATGCATGCACACACGTACGCGTGTGCGAACACAGAGGGATGGTTGATACCACTGGAGCTACAGTAGTTAGAGGCGAGATATACAGTCATTGGAAAGTTAATTTATTACTGGTAAAAGTATCGTTGATTCGGCATTACTACGGTCACGAGTGATTAGCAATCAGTAGCAAATTAGTGGCAATAATGTCAGTCACCACCATGTCTGGCTTCACTAGACACTTCTAAGAGTAGCTGTAGCTGTAGCTGTACTGGAGGAGCCACAAGGAGCAGCCATGAAGCGGAGATCAACGGGAGAGGAATGAAAATAGAAGCAGAGAGGCTCTAGCGGGAAAGTAGGAATATAATCTGTACACAGCGTCAGAGTGCGCAGCTGTCGAGGCTCGGCGGAAGACGGCCTGCGAAGCGATTGGAAGCGAGGTGAGTTAAGACAGAGGTGTGCACGCGCGTGCAATATTATGTTACCAGGTCTAAAGTACGGAGCATCTGAGCAGCATCTGAGCAACACTATACTATGTACAGGCAAATAGACATCAACAAGACTCGTAGGGTATTAGTTCACCGCTACGAGATCAGTGTTCAGCTTGGTGCTAGTTGGGCTCTTGAGAATTGTCAATGGAGGCTGACCGGCGCGGACACAGTTTGTTCAATGTCAGCTGGAAAATTACCAGACTGGAACAAGAACGGCCATGGTACCAGGCGCAGCAGCAGCAACAGCAGTAGTAGTAGCATGACTGTGAGTGTGTGCCAGACCTCGGCCTGCAACCTCTAGCCATGGCCAGACTGGACGGATACAGCAACTCAAGACGTGAATCAAGCCGTTTTCGTTTACAGCTTTTAGAGTGCCACTACGATTGGCACTAGGTTGGGGCAAGGAACATCCCAGACAATAACAGTACCATAGTGTTGCAGATGACTGAACCCCTCAATGGAAAACCAACATCACCGGTGCAACCATCAGCAGCATCATCACCACCATAACAAAGGAAAGCGGACACATCCGCAGCTCACCGAATAATACGGACAAAATTCAAGCAAGACTTCCATGGAAGCATATACATTAGTTCGTTGCCAGTGATGAGAGAGAGAAAGAGAAGCAAAGTACGACACCGATCAAGGAGTTGGTATTGCGCTGGCGGATGCGGGAGACGCGCTTGGCGCCTTCTCGATCACAGCTGCTCCGGTCGTCGGTGAAGCTGTCGGTGACGAAACCGACCCTGCAGAGCGCGATCCAGACGTGGACGACTGCCAGTGAACACACACAATCCAACAATAACAGAAGCAGCAAAACGTTCTTTTATAAGCAGAAGACATGATGCTCACATTATGAAAAGAGCATCAAGAGAGACAAACAGAAAAAGAAAAGAAATAGAAGGAAAAGAACATGGACACCCACCATAGATACCCAATAATTTAACACAAAAATATATACGAAGACAGCGTTCATGCGTGCAACTGAACTCGGTCAAGTCCCGACGATACGTGCTTGCATCTCCTGGCATTCAAGTGGCGGAACTAATAGCGACACACCACGTACTATAACCAACATCATACTCCCATCGACAATGAAGCAGTAGGAAAATGGCTTCAACCTACCCGCTGTCGTCTGAACCAACTGAAGATGCCACTACTACGCGGTGCCTCCTCAACTTCACAGGGTATTAGGTCAGGACTTCGCGTGTCGTCAGGACCATAGGCATTGAGCTCCGCAAAGACTTTCTCGTCAATCAACTAAGCACAACGCATTAGTAGGTAAAGAAGAGCACGCACAGGGGAGAAGAAAAAGAAGAAGAAAACGGCATAAGACCGAGCAATGTGCTACCAACTTGCTATACAGACCATGAAGCAAAGTTACCCTATCTCGCCAGACCAGTGCACATTCGGTGTGCTGCGCAGCCAAACCAATGCACATTTGATGTGCTGTGCAGCCAGACCAGTGCACATTTGGTGTGCTGTGCAGCCAGACCAGTGCACATTCGGTGTGCTGTGCAGCCAGACCAGTGCACATTCGGTGTGCTGTGCAGCCAGACCAGTGCACATTCGGTGTGCTGTGCAGCCAGACCAGTGCACATTCGGTGTGCTGTGCAGCCAGACCAGTGCACATTTGGTGTGCTGCGCAGCCACACCAGTGCACGCTTTTTTTCTTTTTTTCTTGAAGTCTTTGCTATCGCAGCACATGCTTCAGTTATTGGTCACCATCATAGCACCCCACAACTGGCACACGACAGGATGTTACAGAACATAGATATCGTAAAAATAATAGCCATTTCGGTGACCGTATTGGGTCAAAGAAAGAAAATAAGAACCTAGCCTCTTTTCTTGCCTAATAAGATCTTTCCAGCCTGGACAAGTGGGTCCTATGTTCTTCGAAGCATGAGCTTTGATACTGTATGTGGCAACAGATAACGGTGCAGAGGATACTCGCAATGAGAATGTTAGTACTGAGCATAGAGAAATGGCACACTCACGCCCAGAGACAGCACAGAACTGGAGAGAGGGAGGGGGGGGGGGGGGGGGGATAGTTTGATACAGAGAGGATTTTCATCTAAGTGTTCAGCATAACAAAATGTGTTGCAATTCACAAGTTCTACATTCACAAAGTAACTTCAGTATCAATTACAGAGAGAAACTCAACAGAAGTGTACTAAGTTACTTACTTCCTGCTGCCACGGCTCAGAGACACAGCCAGAAGCGAAGCGCGAGTGAAACTCCTTGTCGTCTCCGTCAATCACAACGCCATGCACTGAGGTGAACTCATCGATATCCAGTACATCCTTGGCATAGACAAGGTTTTTCTGCAGCACACGCACAGCAAACAAGTAGACAACACCTATCTAGATCAGCCCAGAACAGTTCAGGAAGCCTGCATTGGTCAGACACAGCATGATATTATAAAAGTAAAGTAAGGTTCCCTTTCCTTGCCCCCGCTTTACATCTCCAGGAAGGCCAAGCAAGCAACTGAAATCTCAGAATTTGTCGGCACAAATTTAGGTATTTCGGGACATCTATTTCATCCCGAAGGTTTCAACATGTACGCCAACATTGACAGACATAATCCAACAGGTAACCTCTTTTCTACTGTACCAGACCCTTTCTGTTCGTACTAAGAGAAATGTTAATGTTGTGAAATTTAGGGGTCGCACTTGCTATCAGGATCGGCTCTCGACATCGCGGCCATCTTGCTTTTGAGTGCGTGCCCAGCGCGTGCGTTTTTGGTCACGTGGGTGACACCGAGGCGCCTGTGACTAGCATATCCGTGCATGAAAGCATCCAAAAATCAACCAAAAATCACCTCTGACGCCAAAGCTGCTCTTTTCGATTCAGCTGCTGAAAGCAACTCCGTCTTCTTTTCGAATCTCCTGTCTCCGACATATGCGTCAACGATGCAACCACAACGAGAGAGCTTGGAAGCGCAGGGCTCTGCTCTATGCTTTTTTGCCTTGATGACCTAGGCAAAAAAAGCATAGGGATGTTATAAATTTTTCATTTCTCCTATTTAATTTCAAGACATAACCTGGGATTCGAACCCGCACTATCGCCCAGCATGCATCCCCCCGATACACTTCGCATACATACTAATTCTTCCAAGTTGCTTCACGTTATGATCTTGCATTTGAAAGCCCTATTTGAATATCGTGGCCAGCTGTTTGTGGCCAGCCGTCTTTGATGGTACGGTACAGGACAGATACGGTCGAGGGTAATACGACACCGTCTACCACCTTGATGACCCAGGCAAAAAAAGCATAGGGATGTTATAAATTTTTCAATTCTCCTATTTTTTAGGCATAACCTGGGATTCGAACCCGCGCTATCGCCCTACATGCATTCCCAAATACACTTCGCATTCATACTCATTCTTTCAAGTTGCTTCACGTTATGATCTTGCATTTGAAAGCCCTATTTGAATATTGTGTCCAGCTGTTTGTGGCCAGCTGTGTTTGATGGTACGGTACGGGACAGATACAGGATAGCGCCAGGCGTGACACAAACAAACAAACAAATACCAAATTAAAGCTTTGTGGACCCTGGCTAGCGCCAGACGTTACTGAAGTAACGTCTTCTGCATAGCTACGGGAATAACATTTTATGTTGACACGTATGCCTGGAAACAAGCTCTATACCAATCATTAATTTGGTGCAATGGCTTCTACATGTAGCCTTGGCGTACTATCCAGCAAAACTGACCAAACAATACTGTGACTTGAACACTACCCTAAATAATTTAATTGTACAGGCACTGGCAATGATCATTCAGAAGCAGATGAAAAAATACAATACACCAAGCATTAACGATGGCATCGGTTTAAACAAAAGAGGAAAGGAATTGTGTGTACTCTCAAATTCAATAACATCCTATGGTGAATTCCAGAGTCCGTTTCAAAGTAACAACAGTTCTGATACTTTTTCAAGCAAATCTCATAAGATTTTATATCCCCTTTTTGACATCTCTCCGTAGAGAACACCTGAAGAGTTTCTACCGCCAGTGCAGGACAGTCAAGAAGTCTCCAGTCCTGCCAGCTCAGTCTCCAGTCCTGCCAGCTCAGCCAGTGGACAGTAATACTGATGGACTGCCATGGTTGCCAGACGGCATTGACCGGAACACGTTGTACAGAGAGTTACTTTCAGCAGCAACCTCGTTAAAGTGTCCATTCACTCTTGCTGCTGTGTGCCACCAGAACGGATTGCTTGACAGGCAAAAGCATCTCCTCCAAGACTCTTCATGCCATTGGTTTCGAGAGTTTGAGGTGCTTGCGCTGGTGTCTGCCGATGTGTCGGGCATGACGGACTGGATGGCGAAATGGCCAATGCCAGATGGCATGGCAGCGGAGATCATAGACCTAGCGAAGAAGGCATCACCCAGCACCATCGATGCCGAGAAAGAGCCGTGTACGTGGACGTGGTTTTGTAAGCACATATTCACGTTACCCGTGAACAACGCAATGGCAGAGCGTCAGTTCAACCTGGCTAACATCCACTTAACGGCGTCTGACTCTGAGCAGAGTAAGCAAGCTACCCACCTGTTCGTAGAGAACATTCTTTACAGCAAGCAGTCACGGCCAACATCAGCAGGAAAGCGGAAGAAGATCACAGGTAAGCCACTATCACCACTGAATCAGAATGGTTCCAAATGTTTATGTGACATGATGAGCATTGCACTTATTCTGCAATATTGGATTGCTAAATCTCCACACGTGCGTGTCCACGGTTGCCTTCAAAAATAATAGGAACAATCGAATTATCTTTTCCTCGTTTCCACACCTGGGTTTTGTAGATGCCACGGCACATGAGATCGCCGCTGCCATGGGTGAATACGCCTCAACAGCCACTGCCGAACGCCTCAGCGTAGTACGAAAGCAGCTCCAAGCCGGTATGTCACAGGCGACATCATTTACTGCTGCGGAAACCTACCAGGGAATCCTGCAGCGCCATCGCAGGAGGCAAGACCACCAGCAGCGCATCGACGTGCTGGAGAAGGAAGGGTGGACACATGCCGTGCAGAACAACCCTGGAACGTGTGCGGCAGTGCAGAGTATTGCTGCAGCGAGATCTTTCCCTGCCATATCCACGCCGTCGAGTGAATGCCCTGCTAGCACTAGTAACACTGTGACTGACAGTGACACCCTGCCGCCCAGCTCAAACTGAGCGACACTTGCACTTCTTGCCGTAAGTGTGATCTTCAAAATGTTCCTTGGCAGCCATTTCTGGTCCGATTCTGATGGTTGAGGGCTCAAAGTTTTCATTGCGATCTCCTCTTGAGATCTATCGAATCAAATTTGTGATAAAGAGCAGCGATTTATTGTCAAGATACGGTGAAGTACGGTGAAACAGGTGGAAATGTACCGTATTACCGTATTTCCGTTCTACTTGACCGATTTCAAAATTTCTTTCGATAGATGTCCGCGTACTTGGCCCCAGGAGCAGACCTGCGATTTTCGATGCTGTAGATAGAACGACTGCTGCCAAGGAACCCTTTACAAATCGCCCAAATTTTGAATTTTCCGTAACTCTGATAGGCTTACCCTGACGCGCACGTGCTGCGTGCGTGATGAATCAAAAATGGCTGCGATGTCTAAGTACACAAGTGCGACCCCTGAAATTAGAGACCATATACTATGACTGGCACTGGTTACTGAAATTTACCGCAATAGAGTGGGCTCTAACTTAAAAAGCTCTTACTGTCAATCTGATAGTAACGTAATTGATAGTGTTTCTCGAGTCATAGGAAAATGTTAGGATTGTACTATTTTGTACTTTATTTTCATGTTCCTCGGATCGTAACTTCCGTCCTACTAACTCAGAGACTAAAGCGGGATTCACAGAAGTTTTTTGCGATGCGACACGCGCGAAACCGGGAAATCCCCAAATCGCAGCCATCTCGCACCCCACGCAACTGCCGCAACTGGGCCATCGCAGAAGTTGAGCTTGGCTCAACTTTTGCGATGCGACAAGCGATTTGGCGTACGAATTTGACCTTTTCTACAGCAAAGTTGTACAAAGGTTCAAGAGTTGCCAATAAATTTGTAGAAGTTGTACCAAACCGCGCAAATACCATGGTGACGTACCCACCTACATTGAACTTCGCGCCAAATCAGCAGGGCATTGTCGCATCGCTGACTTCTTCTGTGAATGGTATTTCGCGAGTTCGCATCGCACGCGTCCGTCGCAGATCACGTCGCATCGCGTGTCGCATAGCAAAAAAGCTTCTGTGAATCCCGCTTTAGGTTGATCATGATGATGAGAACACAGGTATACATGCGGGCTGGAGATAAGGGACGGTACGGAAATTGCGTGCAACTTAGCCGTGCTCCGACCAGTTCATTTCCCTGCGTCACCCAGTTCCAATTTGTTCCTTGTATACTCTTTGAGATTTACATTCGGGGAACTATGGTACTTACATCAGGCTCGTAAGGTGGATCAACAAGACCAGCCTCAAGATGTGGCCAAGATATGGACTGGAAGAAACTCAGCCTCTTAATGTGATGTGCTTTGCTCAGCCGATTCTGATAATTCTTTTCCAGAAGCTACAGAAGAAGAAAATGGAATTAGACCAAGCAATGTGTTACCATACGGATCGAAGAGCAAAGCTACACAATCCAAGCCAGACCACTGCATATCCAGTGTACTTTGGAGCAAGCTTGTCATAGCCAACTTGTGCTGGGATTACACCATTCAACAGATTCCACACACACACACACACACGCACGCACGCACACACGTACACATGTACATCATCCTCTCCTCTTTACCTTTGAGCACAATTCTCTAGCTTCGTCTGTGAAGTTTGAAGAGTACTGGACCTCGTCTTCCTTCGTTCTTCTCTCAACCTCCTCCCTGGAGACCTTCTCCTTACGTTGTCTAAATGGTGCCTAAAACAAAAACAAGACAAGGTCGGACAAACTGTCAGCACGAAACGTACAGTGCTGGCCAAAGAAATCCAACAACTCATGAATAAAATAGCATTGCCGGGCGCTACGCAGCCCTAGCACTACACACACTAGTCCGTGCACTCTAACTCGGCGCTACTTTATTCACGAGGTTGGATTTCTTTGGCCAGCACTGCAGCTTCAATATGCTGCTCGTACAACACCTAGTCATCATCATCATCATCATCATCATCATCATCATCATCATCATCATCATCATCATCATCATCATCATCATCATCATCATCATCATCATCATCATCATGAGAAAAGCCTCTTTTACGGGCAAAGCAAATGTATATCATTACAATATGTAAAGTGAACAGGGGAAATCAACACAAAACCAACCGGAAAATGATGAAACACAAAAGCAGTCAAGGAAGTAAATCAATACAAAAACAAGCAATGAACACAGAGTAATAAAAGGGGAAAAACCAAATAGCATTATATTAAGTTGAGGCCAAAGGCAGCACCCTACTCCGCCTGGCGGCACTGGGCCAGAAATGAGTTCGGCTGTCGCCTCTTGCCGTACGAACCGCGGCAACCGCGGAAGCAGGTGACTGCCCATCGCAGCAAGCAGAAAGACAAACGGGTGCGTAGTATGCCCATTACTAGTGGGTACTTCAGTTCAGTATGGCGCTCAACAAACAGGGAGGCCAATGATTTCAGGAATTGAGTAGTTTCTGGGCCACTAAAGCCGTACGTCGAGAACACAAGTGGCGTGAAGGAGCCGCGCTCCACGTTAACCACACGGCTGGCGTATTGATTTTTCTTGTTTCGCTCGTGAGACTTCAGCTGACTCAGGGCTTGTGATCGAGACAACACAGACGCTGCGGGATGAGTGATCCGCACATCAAAGTAAGCGTCCTGTTGCCACGACCAAAAGCCGCGAGCCCGCACATCCAGACGAGCTTCTGCGCATCGGTTGAGGGAACGACCACCAGGCAAATGCTCACTGCTGCAGGGCAATAGCCGGGGCTCCGTCTCTACGTCCACCACTCCAGCCTCCCTCAGTAGTCCAGCAACCAAGTCCCGCACCTCATTGTGACGGGCAATGGTATAGCCGCCAGTGGCACAGGTAAGTGCATGAGCGGGGCTGAGAGGCACACCACAAACACATGAATCGGGTAGCCCACTCAACCTTCGCCCATAGCGGATGCACAGGGCATCACGGAAGTCGGATTTCTTCAGGATGGTTCCATCTTGCCACCGCGGGGCAACAGTCAACCATGACGATACTCCCTTTTCGGACGCGATTTCAACAAGAAATTGTTGCTCCGAGCTCAAGTCCGCCTTAATGTCTTGTTGCCGGCTGCATAGGCTCCGCATTTTGCTTGTCCGAGTCGAGCGTGCCAGCTGGCGGGTGTCCCCAACAGCATCGCGGACGGGATCATGATTGGAGAGCCTCACTCGGTCGGCAACCTCCTGGGTTGTATCACCGGAGCCCTCTGACTGGGCAGTATCCGACAAATCGCTCCTTGCCATATCACCAGGCACGCTTGGAGGCATCATCATCATCATCATCATCATAATCATCATCATCATCATCATCATCATCATTCATCAGTGGAGAACGGTTGGCAATTCTGAGGCTCTTGGTTTGCTTGGTTGACTTGGTTGCTGGAGAGGAACTGGGAAGCTTGACTTGGCTGGCGCTGCTGTCTGTTGCTGTTCGGTGGAGTGGTCATCACATTTTATCCTTTGGAGGCACCCAATGGCCACCCAATGGCCAGTGTTAGACCAGTGAGGAGAGGAGTGTGACTGCCTTGCTGCTGGAGGCAGTTTCTGACACGATTGGTGACTCTGGTCGTACAGTCCTGATGCAGTCGTCACCTCAGTCATCCTCACACCTCTTATCCCTGCCAGTTCTGTCGCGATGCCGTGCTGCAACTGCCAGATTGGTCGCAAATGTGTTAGATGCAGATGTGTTCGTGCGAAGAAGCGCTGTGTGGACTGCTACCCTGGTAGAGCTACCCCTAGCCTTTGTCACAACCAAACCGAATCCATCGCCTCGCAGCCTGCTGGCGCTGTTGGCGCTGGTATTGTGGTCAGTGGTGGTGGAGGATGTTCAGCCAGCCAGCCATCTCAGCGAAACATATCACCGGAGGATAGCTCTGATGAATCCACTGCATCTGCAGATGAGGGTTGTGGCAGTGGCAGGCGCGATGTCGACTCCTGGCTGCGTGTAGATCACCCACTTGGGATTCATCCCAGCTCTGATTCCTCGCCATTCTCCCCAAGTGACATAGTCGAGTGCGGTCTAGCCAGCGCGGTGCCATGTTGTCGCTGCCAAGCAGGGGGTACGTGCATACGATGCGCTTGTGTCAGGGCTGGCAGAGTTTGTAGTAACTGCTATCCTGGGAGGGGTCGACTTGGCACCTGTCGTAATGTTGCTTCGGTGCCTGGGGTCCCGAGCTCTCAGCCCCAGATTATTCAGAGTGGCACCTCTGCTGCAACTGCATTGATTCCGACAGCATCTCAGGTTGACTTGCTTACCAGTTTGGAGGAATCTGACTCTGGTGCGCCACTGATGAGTGTGGATTCGGGCGCTGGGGGTACTGTACAACAGGCAGTGCATGGGGAGGATGACTCACGGTCCACTCTTATCTCATCCCAACCCCAGCTATGCCCATCTACGGGGAATATCGATTTGCAGGCTACGGGTTCTGGTCATGCGGATGTGGATCCATTTTCGCAGGTGCTTGGCACGAGCCAGCCTGACGCTGCCTCTCCAGTTCCCACCACCCCTCGGGTCTCCATGCCTTTTGACATGGCTGACATCTATCAGGAGGTGGCGAGTTGGGAAAAGAACCTCTTCCGGGCTCCGACCGGCAGTGTTGGCAAAGAGTTTGTTCGGACACTCACGTCAGAACTTCAAAAGTTCAATTCGTCCCGAGGAGCGGAAGCCACTGCTCTATATCGTTTCTTCCTGCTTCCAGCGTTGGTGCTCCAGCGAGTAGGTCGGAATTGCCCTGCCTCAGAGTGCTCTGACCACACTCGTCGCAGACTAAATTTATGGATCCAGGGTTCCTATATGGAGCTAGTGCAGGAGGGTCGAACTATTCAGCATATGCTCAAGACATCGCAGAATCGGAGATCCAGGCGTGGCGAAGACCCTGCTCATGAGTTTGGCCACTTGATGGAACAGGGCCGAGTTCACTGCGCACTGAGAATGCTGGATAATGCAACCAAGCCCAAGTGTGATAAACCGGTCTTGGGCATGGACGACATCATTTCTGATTCTCATCAATCCCAGTCAGTCCGTGAAATTCTCGTCGGGAAGCATCCGGGGTCGGCACCGGCAGCACCGGACATCCTGCTTCAGGAGGAGGCGGGCAATGTCAGCAGTATCTACTTCGCCAGCGTCAATGGTGAGTTGATCAAACGCACTGCCCTTTCTCTGCATGGTTCTGCGGGTCCTTCCGGCCTGGACGCGGATGCTTGGCGGCGGCTATGCACATGTTACAAAGGTGCATCTACTGATCTGCGTGAGGCAGTGGCGTGCTTCACACGCTTGATCTGTACCGACTCAGTCCCCTCCGGCTCACTCACACCGTACACAGCTTGCAGACTCATTGCCCTCAACAAGAACCCTGGCGTTCGGCCAATAGGGGTATGTGAAGTGTTTCGTAGACTGTGCTCCAAGGCGGCATTGTTTCTGATGAAACCCGACATTATGCAAGCCTGCGGACCAGTTCAGGCCTGCACGGGCATCCCGGCTGGGGTGGAGGCTATGGTGCACTCAATGACGGCTGCCTTTGCTTCGGAAAAGGCTGAGGCAGTGTTGCTAGTCGATGCTCGCAATGCCTTCAATAGCTTGAATCGCCGCGCTGCATTGCACAATATTGCTCGAGTATGCCCCCCGCTAGCACAAATAACATTGAATACTTACCAAGACCCTGCATCCCTATTTGTGCGTGGTGGCCAGTCTTTATTGTCACAGGAGGGCACAACCCAGGGTGACCCTCTTGCGATGGCCATTTATGCCACGGCTCTCACCCCTCTCGTCAAGTCAGTCGGAACCAATGTTGCAGATGTGTGCCAGGGATGGTTTGCAGATGACTCGGCAGCTGCCGGAGGGCTCTCCCCATTGCGAAGGTGGTACAACCTCCTTAAGGAAGAGGGCCAAAAATACGGCTACAACATCAACGAAACAAAAACGCAACTACTCGTCAAGCCTGGCTTTGAGTCCTTGGCTGCCGAGACTTTTGGTGACACAACTATCCACGTCAAGTCTCGTGGCGTACAGTATCTGGGCGCTGCTATCGGGACTGAGGCATTCCTCGGAGAATTCAAAGAGACAAAAGTAGAAGAGTGGGTGAAACATACAGAGATTTTGGCAAATTATGCCGCATCAGAGCCGCATGCAGCATACTCTGCGTTGACCCATGGCTTAGTCAACAGATGGAACTATGTGTTTCGAACTATGGCTGTTTCTGCGGAGGACTTGGCGCCGTTGGAGCGGGAGCTTCACTCCTCACTTCTACCGGAGCTCGTGGGACAACCGAGCGTGCCTCTGAAAGACATTGATATTCTAAAGCTCCCGACACGGGATGGTGGGATGGCCCTTCCGGACCTCACGACTCGACCACGGTTTGAGCACCAGGGCTCCAAGCAAGTGTCCGGACCTATGGTGAAGGAGGTTCTGGGCGATTTCGCTAAGGATAGCGATCCAATTTCTCTCGCTGGAGATGTGCCGGCTTCTGCAGATACTGCTGACCGTGGTGGAGCGTCTCCCACTCCCACGATGACGGCAACGGAGGTGCAGCCGCGGGAGGTCGCTGGCAACTCAAACCCTGGACCGGATGTGGCTGCTGATGTTGCTGGTGCTGGTACCCCCTTTCAGAGGATGATCGATGAAATGCGTCACAAAAAGCGTGTCGTCCACACCGAAAACCGGGAGCGCGCAAAGGCAGCCAGGAACAAAATAGTGGACACGAGCG